GACCTCCCAGTTTCATATAGAGAGATTCCGTTCTCAGACTATTTTGCTGTAATCTCTAGCCACCTTAGCCCTTGTGGTTTAGTGCTTTTTGATTATAATAATAACCTAGCCACCTTCACAACCATTGGCAACAATGTTGGTCTGAGTTGATTCATAACAAATTGCATTTTCAAGCTGAGTTTAAGATCTCACTCATGGGTATCTCAAGGAGAGGTGCCCAGTTCCATTCTGTGCAAATTGTCAGGTTCCAATTTTAGTTTGCCATATTCTATTGAACTGTCTTATCTATCAGTGAGTATGCAGAATTTACCTCCGACGTCATCACCGGTCTAACACCTTCACTTTAACTTCCCTCCTAGCTAACAGCCCTACCTTTGACACAGACCCTCTTTGACATCAACAGATTTATTACACAACCTTTGATTATACTCTTCACTCTTGCTAGTTACAGATCAAGCGTATTACAAAGTTCATACATCCTACCCTGCAGCGCTGTGTGACCCTGGTGGGTTTAGCGCTTAGTTTTGATTATAATAATGGGGAGAGCTAAACCTGTAGGGATTATACAGTACCTGTGGGGACGGGGGGAGGAGATGGAAGGCATTCAGACTTAATTCCGGGAACTAGCATGGTTCCCCCTCAAAGGAGGTTCCTTGATGTTGGTGAGGGGCTCTTACCTGGAGGTTATTCCGGGGATCAACGCCCCCGCGGCCCGGTCCACGACCAGGCCTCCCGATGGATCAGGGCCTGATCAACTAGGCTGTTACTGCTGGCCGCACGCAGTCCGACGTACGAGCACAGCCCGGCTGATCCGGCACCGACTTTAGGTATCTGTCCAGCTCTCTCTTGAAGGCAGCCAGGGGTTTATTGGCAATTCCCCTAATGCTTGATGGGAGGCTGTTGAACAGTTTTGGGCCCCGGACACTTATGGTGTTTTCTCTTAGTGTACCAATGGCGCCCCTACTTTTTATTGGCGGCATTTTGCATCGCCTGCCCAGTCTTTTACTTTTGTAGGGAGTGATTTCTGTGTGCAGATTTGGGACCATTCCTTCCAAGATTTTCCAAGTGTAGATTATGATATATCTCTCCCTCCTGCGTTCCAACGAGTACAAGTCAAGTGCTTCCAAGCGTTCCCAGTAGTTAAGGTGCTTGACAGAACTTATACGTGCAGTAAAGGATCTCTGTACACTCTCTAGATCTGCGATTTCACCTGCTTTGTATGGAGATGTTAATGTACAGCAGTATTCCAGCCTAGAGAGAACAAGTGATTTGAAAAGGATCATCATGGGCTTGGCATCTCTCGTTTTGAAAGTTCTCATTATCCATCCTATCATTTTCTTTGCACGTGCGATCGTGGCACTGTTGTGATCCTTGAAAGTGAGATCCTCAGACATTACTACTCCCAGGTCCCTTACATTATTTTTCCGCTCTATTGTGTGGCCGGAATTCAATCTGTGCTCCTGTTCCCTGAATTAAGCCTGAATATCTTCCACATCCCCTCCCCACAGGTGCTGCATATTCCTATGGGTTTAGTGCTCCCCTTGATTATTATAATTATGGAGCACAGTTCCAATTCCCTCGATCAAGAGCCACTCACCAGCATCAAGGAACCTCACTTGAGGGGTCTCTCACTTACAGAAATCTTTCCAACATGACTATGGATGAAATACTTTTTGCATCCCACATGGGTTTAGGGCTTAACATGAATTATTATTATTACCATCTTTTTGCATTGCATGTTAAACATTCCCGATATATATCTGAATAAAAAAAAAAAACGACCCATATCAGGTAAGATATCTATTTCCACTCTGTAAAACTTGGGATGAACTTATGAGCGAATGATTTGATAAACACTTCTCCAAACATGCAAGCTTCAGTGTTGTCCAAGACACCTCAGATTTATGCAAAAAACTGTCATTCTTCACTTGGAAGTAACAAGATTATGATGTTTGAATATAAAAAGAATTATATTTCAACAAAATCACTGTCAAAACTTATGTCTCCAGATTGTGAATGGAGACCAATCCAACTAATTAGTGAAACTATTTTGATATCAAGCCATCAGCTCCTTGATATAATAGGTTAGTGCTTGTTGCTGAGGGATTGGAAAATAACAATAATATTGCAAATGTTGATGCTGTGGCTCCTTAAGGGGTTCCTGACAGGTGAGGGCTCTGGATCTAGGGAATTGGATCTGTACTTGGTCCCCTGAACTGGCCTGAATACCTTCCATCCCCAATGCACTATAATCTAGGGTTTAGTTCTCCCCATATTATAATAATTATACAATGTGGTCAAAAAAATGTCGATGGGAAAAGACGTCAAATGTGAATGTTCCACCCTTTGCATTAACTAAGCCTTGTGGTTTAACACTTAGTATGATATATAATCCTGCTTAACTGCAACAAGACATCCTGAATTTTTGTGACGCCCAGTTTCCTCGAGAAAGCAATTCGGTGCTGAAGACTGACAGCCGCATATCAATACGTGGGAGGTTCTTGATGCTGGTGGGGCTCTTGCCCTGGGAATTGGATCTATGCCCCAGTTCCCTGAATTAAACCTGTATGCCTTCCATCCACTCCACAGGTGCTGTATAATCCCTACAGGTTTAGCACCCCTAATATCATACGGTTATTATTATAAGCAAGGGGGAAGCACTAAACCCATAGGACTATACAGCACCTATGGGGATGAAAGGTATTCAGGCTTAATTCAGGGAACTGGAGCACAGATCCAATTCCCTAGATCAAGAGCCCCTCACCTGCATCAAGGAACCTTCCTTGTGGGGATCAATATGGTTAATAGGCTGTCCTGTCAAAGAATATGCAGAATCCACTTTTGACATTGGAATGCCCTAGTGTGCTTTAATTATTTTTTTATTTTAATCAGTGGCAAGTGTTAAACCCATAAGCATTATGCAGCCAGCAGAATTATGCTTTAATTAAACTCCTTGCCAAAAGTACCCCCTTCAAAACACACTATGGCTTTTAAACATTAATAGTTATTGCATAAACTTTGGCATTAATTAGCACTGGCATTAATCCCACCTTTAACATTAACAAACCTGTGTTGATTATACTAATATTTTGAAGGGAAAGAACTTTAAATATGTTTAGTGGAATGTGACTTGTGGATTTTACTCTGCCTATTTTCCTAGGAAATTTGATTAATTTTTATTACTGCATTATCATCATGGAGAACTAAACTTTTAGGGATCATACAGTGCCTAGGGAATAGGAAACAACTAGGTTTGATCCGAGCAAGAGTATTATTACGTTTATGAGGGAGAATGCTAAACCCATAGGGGTCACATAGCACCTGGGAAGAAATGCAAGGAATTCCGACATTCAAGGAACCGGGGCACAGGTCCTTAAATCAAGATGTATTTATTATGGGGAAAATTAACTCGAATAACGATAATTTCGATTAACGATGAGCTCTCAGGAACTGATTAATATCGTTGGTCGAGGGTCCACTGTATAATCATGCACTAAACCCAGAAGGATCATACAATGCTGCATCAAAGGGGATTAAAGTGTGCTTTTTAACATTTTTTTTTATATGCACTGATGAAATACTACTCAATGAAATTTGCCCCATACCCTACCAGGAAATTTGACTTTTTAGCTTTAACATTTTTTTTTTTTTTTGTACATGTTTTACATTTAAAGGAGGTACAGTCATGCTGGGGAAGGGCCTAAGTTTCCATTACAAAACTTCATGTGTTCCAGCAATATTTTATAGAATTTATTTTATTCATGGAAATGCTAATCCTGTAGTTTTATTGAGAGCAGCCCCTCAACTGGGGTGTCTTGATGACGATAAGGGGCTCTTGATCCAAAGAACTTAACATTCTCTCCCTTAAAACATACTTGAAATACCTTCCATTCTCCAGGTGTTATAAAACTTTTACAGGTTTAGCCCTCACCCGATTAAAATATATTCATTACCATGATCTACCCCCTCAAATACCTTAGTGAAAAGTTAGTAAATTCATAAGGCTGAAATGCCCCTTGTAAAACCGTGCTGACATTCATTAATCAATTTATGCCTTTCAAGGCAGCTACAAACTGCCTCAGCAATCACTGTTTCCATAAATTTTCCCACTGTAGAGGTTAGCTTATTGGTCTATAGTTCAAAGCTAAGGACCTGTCTCCTGCTTTGTAGATCATGTATGTCAGATCATAAAAGTCACTTGTCTGTGTTCACTCCTAACATGCTCAAGCAAACCTGCTGCAAGTTCAAGCCCACTAGCACTCAAAATCTCCTTTACCCTCCTCTTCCCATTTCCTAGGATGACTCATGTCCCTCCATCCTAGATTTATACATACTCCTATTCATTCTATTTTTCTCTCTCAATGTCCAAACCACCTCAACAGCTCCCACTCAGCCCTCTGAATACTTCTGGTGATACCACACCTCCTAATCTCCAAACTCCAAATTCTCTGCATAATATTCACACCACACATTGCCTTTAAGTGCATTTCTACTGCCTCCAACCTCCTCCTAGGTGGAACATTCAAAACCCATGCTCTACACCCATACAAGTGTTGATACCACTATATTCTGGTACATTCCCCTTTTTATCACTATGTACAAAGTTCTTTGTCTCCACAGATGTCTCAATGCACCACCCACGTTTTTACTTTTGTCAATTCTGCGTTTCACTTCACTTCTCACAGAGTTATCCACCAAGTTCACTTCCAAATATATGAAGAACATTTACTTCCTCCACACTCCCTCCCTCATATCTAATTTCCAATTTCTCATTATCTACATTTTTTTTAAATTATCATCACCTTGCTCTTTCCTAAGTTTATTTTTAATTTCAGTCTTTTACACTGATAATACAAGATCCTACTGGAGGGTATGAGAGTAACTGTACTCTTTTTAAGAGAAGCAGACTTTCCTGTGAGGACCCATACTGCTCACATAATATTAATTAATTATTATTTATTAGACAACATTTTTACTTTAGGGTAAATAAAAGAATTACAGATAGATACTTTAAATTGTCTTCACCAATTGGAATCAGGTATTTACAGTATTGGTATGTGCATGTGGTCTCTGACCATTCAAATTAATCTAATACAGTATACATAACTGCATATAAAAATGCACTGAATGACAAAATGATCCTTACCATACACAACACATTGTGCTTAACTATTAACCCCATTGTCCACTCCATAAAAATGGCAAGACTACTGACAAGATAATTACAGTGCTTTAAATAGACTTCTGACAGTCTCATCTTCAACACATTCTTCAGCTCGCAAGCCATCGGAATCTTGGATGGTGGGATCAGCCCCGTGGTCTAAGAGGACTCTGATGATGTTCAAGTGACCACAGGAAGCTGCATAGTGTAGTGCAGTCTGTCCTTCTGCATCCTGCATATTGACATTTATCTTTTTTTCTAGAAGACACATAGCAATTTCTGTATGTCCTCTGTCGGCTGCCCAGTGTAAGAGTGTCATACCATTCTCATCCCTCTCTACTATGGAGTTAGAATCAAGACTTTGAATTTTATGAATATTATTTTCTTTAACCCAATCAAAAGAATTTTTGTCTTCTTCTCTAACGTCATCCTTTTCAGGCTGGAAGCTGGAAACTCTCATCCAGCTGGTTTTTGAACCACCATCCACATCCACTTTAAGTTCCCAATCTGGATCAATGTCAGCAATGGCACTCACATACTCCCTCATGGCATCATCTTTCTTCATATCTCCGAGGTTTTTCCATGCCTCCCATTTCAGTTTGCCTTTAAAATCAAAGAAGCCAGGTTTTGGGGTATTACAGGACCCTTCACAGGCTTGTTTATAGCGAGCATAAAAGAACAGAAGCTTGTCCTGGGCAAGATTAGCAGTTAAAGCTTGAAGGTGAGTTGCAGCTTTATTAAATGTTGCTTCTAACTCTCCTACTGCAGGGGAACTCACCTCTAGATCATCCATGCCACTTTGAATACACACTTACTGCTTACTACAATAAAAAAACTTGAGTCATAATGTTACAAGGTACTTTACTGTAGTACATATTCACACACTACTGTCTATATTAAAAAAAATATGGCTATTTACTTGTTGGCTGCACATGTAAATTATTACCTTCAAGGAAATGTGTAGACTTACTAATAGCATTATCAAAACTATTTCTGTTGCCAAACTGAACAAATCCAAAGCCACGGCTCATCCCTGTTGACTTGTTGAACACCACATGTGTATTTATTACATGACCAAACTGTGAAAAATGCTGCCGTAGTTCCCGGTGCCCCACCGTCCATGGCAGGTTGCCCACAAATACTTTGTAAATATTACGGGATGCCATTGAGCTTCTGGAGGATTAAGTATGCAGCTTTTTTCTCCCAGAGATGACCCAAGAGTAGCCCCGAGGAGAAAGTAGCCAGTGGTGGGAAGATGCCTCGTGTAACTATGTCTCAACTGCTGGAGCTTCTGGTGATCTGAAACACATGAATTGTGTGAGAACCAGGGAGATTGGATTCAGCTATGTTTGTTGCATCAGCATCAAAAGTTGCCAATGGTAACTGCATACAAGACAAATTCCATTTGTGAAGAAGGTGTTCCAGGGACCAATCAGAAGCTCTTTCCTGGTATGAGCATACAAATTGGGCCCTTGGGTTGTGCTCCAGTAAATATGACACTGTTACAAGGATGTCCTCAAATACAGCTGGATCATAAAAGCAGTCTGAACCAAGGATAATGTCAATAGGCCCCAGGTGCAAGAGTTCTGGTGTAAAGAGTCCCCATGTTAGCCCAATAACTGCAACAGAACCAGCAATACCATTGGCTTGACAAGACATCTGACAATTTCGAAGACACTTGGGTAACTGGCCAGAATCTGAGAGAATCACTTGGGCACCACACTTTGCAGCAACAATGCCTGGAAGTGCAGTCCCTGCACCGATTTCTAAAACGGTTCGGTTGATAAAACCATGACGATGATGCCAGACATACTGTGCCAGCACTGGAGCACATGGCCAAGTGTACATGCCATAGCTGGGACTTACTACCTGCAACAGGACAAGTACATGATCACACATTATGGGTAAGTGATAGTGAAAGATAAAGATTTAAAATATTTCCTATTATTATTATTATTATAATCATGGAGGAACATATTTCCTAATAAACACATTCCCAGATACTGTAACCGTAAATCAAATTCCCTGGAGTGATGTAAATATCCTCCCTTCAATATTAGCAAGTACATTCAGTCAAGAAAATATCCTGACTGGAAAAAGCCTGTTCTAGATACAAAGCCTCTTTTCATCTAAAACTCATCTTTATCCCCCATACCATCAACTGTTACAAGTGCATACAGTACACATTATGCACTGCTCAGAGGTCTACAATATAAACTTAATTTATATGGTTGCAAAGTGTCAGTTATTTAATAATATTTGGCATGTGTGGGGGTGCAGCTCTCAATTAGCTGCACTGGGAGGTTCAGGGTATATACAATACCCCATTCCCTATGCAGCTTATCATGGTTCGCATTATCTACACATTTTTTTTAACACATCTGCCTCCCACTGAGACAGGGTGATCCATAAAAAGAAAGAAACACTTTCACCATCATTCACACACAATCACAGTCTTTGCAGAGGAGCTCAAATTTCAAATAATAAACAAAAATTCTGTATGACCCTATGTCTGGGAAGCTTGTAACTGGCCTGTGATGCAAGATTATCTGCTGATTTTTCTATGATTTTTGTCCAAAATCTAGCCTGTTTTTTCTACTGTGTTTCACCAAGCCCTTTCACTAGAACATCAATTTCAGAAGTGCAATTACACTACTGTCTAACTATACTGTGTATGTATATATATGTATGTATTATATATATATTTTGTGTGTGCACATGCTTGCGTGTGTATGTTTGCGAACGTATGTGTGTGTACATGTAAATAAATTAATACATATACAAAATTCATGTATGTATGTATGTATGTATATATGAATGTATGTATTTTCCCCAAGATATCCATATAAATGTAGGGATCTACAAAATTCCTTGAACCAAATTTAAAAATGCTACAGTAAGCAAACAAAAATAATAATGCAGTGTTTTGATAAAAAAGTATGTGGAATCATAGAATAAATTTTAATGACGCTTTAGAACTGATGAGGTGTAACAACACACAGCAGAGGCACAGAAGAGAATTGGATATAATTAGTAATGTTCCAAATTTTGACTCTAAATGACAATGATGAACCTTTACTGAATATTTCTTCAAATCTAGCAAACCACTGAAAAAAAGATAATTGACCAACAAAGAAAGTCTGAGGTCCCATAATTGTTTCAGTTGGATAAATTCAGTGTTGGGAAGAGTATAATTTAGTAATGATTGGGCAATGGTATTCTAAAAATTGCCAGGTGTGGTCACTGACACCAGTAAAAGCTTGTTGGCATCCACCAAACTTGTGTGAGCACATTAAGTGTGGTGACAAGTTTTTGTTTTTTTTACTTGACATCCTGAAAGTGTGAGCAGGTAAATACTATTTATTAAGGGATCCAAGGAAACCAGTACTACATACTTAAGTTGTGAAGGTGGGAAGTACAGCGCCTGTACTTCTAAAGGGATGGGTATGTTGCAGTTCAGAGGCTCATTTAACCCGTAAACGGTCCAAACGTATATATACATTTTCTCAACATTTGAAAGTATGTAAAAAAAGTAGATCTTTTTGTTTTCTACATTTGAAAATGTGTAAATAAACTTAGATCTACTTTTGTAGCACTACACATGTGAACATAGATCTGCTTGGACCGTTTACAGGTTAAGCTGTGACATCAACATATTCATTCACTGTTCTACCAGAAATGAGTGACAATGAGAAGAGTCTTCTCTTTTTTGAGTCATTATGTTTGATTTTTTATGGGTTATCCTAGGTAAATTACACTATGTATGATAATTGTACTTATGCATAGCTATGCCTAAATAAAGTTACTGACTTACTCTGCCTTGGTGGAAGATAGTTGTTATGTTGTGTTATGAATTCCAAAATTTGGAATTCATTACCAGAAGATACTAAAGTAACCCGGTCTGAAAATCAATTCAAGACTCTTCTCAAAAGCCACTTAATCACCCTAGATAAATGCTAAATACTCAGTACACACAAACTCACTTATGTTCTCCCACATCATAACTTCAACAATCACTTTGAACCTTTTATCCATTGTCGACAGGAATATAATTGAATCATTGTTTTCACAAAAAGCATTTTTTTAATATATTAATATATCTTTTGTCTTACATAAACTAGATTCACTTATAATTAATAATCTACTGTAGAACTATGATATAATTAATATTCTACAGTACAACTATGATATAATTCTTAGTGTTAAGTAATCATTAAGTCAATAATGTTAAGTTGGCCCATAATGCCTAGGCATAATAGAGGCTCTCTTTGCACTGCAACCCATTATTACAAATACAAAATCTCAATGTACTAATTGCAAAGACATAAATAAATAAATAAATAAAAATAAATAAATAAACTATACTATTACTAATGATATAAAATAGTGATAAAGTATAAAGATATTATCTCTGACAACTCCAGACACATTATATGATTTACATTTACTTACTGAGATCTGTTATAAACTTTTACAATGGTTTTATACAGTAAATAATGCACAATTTAACCTAGGATAACCTAATAAAAGTATGGATAAAGATACTTCTGTACAGTAGAGAATATATGTTAAAGGTAATGTCTCGCCATGAGTAACTTTATCTAGACATAGGAACATATATGTACAATTATCAAACATAATGTAAATTACCCACGAGGATAATCCCCCAAAATTAAAGTAAATTATTTTCATTGTGGTCCTTGATATATCCATTAGGGTACCAATTTTGTGCCTTGGATAAAATAATATTATACCACACAAACTGTAATTCCCATCATGATCTGCCATCTCACATAATCTCACCATAATTCTGCAAATTCCGTAAAAATTCCTGTATAAAATAATAAAAAGAATCCAATATATGATTGTTTGGGTGGCGTCAGGAAGGAGCCATGAGTCAGGGAGTTACTTCACCTTCTCCTCGTTATATTTAGTAACTAGAAAGAGAAAAACATTTATATGTAGAGTCAGTAGATGGTCATGTTCCTCACCTCAGGGATGAGCACCTCCAGGCAGTCCTGTGTGGGAAGGTGAGGTGAACGGAACACAAACTTCCTCACGTGTTGAGGAACCTCCGCCATGCAGCCTTGATCTACCTCAGCCAGTCACCACCCCCTGGGACACCCCCTGGGACACCCCCTGGGACACCCTCTAGTAAGTAAGTAAGTTTATTCAGGTATACACAAATACAGTTACATAGAATTATCATACATAGCAGCATATGTGTAGAGAACCTAGGATAACCCAAAAAAGTCAGACACCCTCTGGGACACCCTCTAATACACCCCCTGGGACACCCTCTGGGACACCCTCTGGAAGACCCCCTGGGACACCCCCTGGGACACCCCCTGGGGCACCCTCTGGAAGACCCTCTGGAACACCCTCTGGAACACCCACTGGGACACCCTCTAATACACCCCCTGGGACACCCTCTAATACACCCCCTGGGACGCCCTCTAATACACTCCCTGGGACACCCTCTGGAACACCCCTTGGGACACCCCCGGGACACTCCCTGGGACACCCCCTGGGACACCCTCTGGAACACCCACTGGGACACCCCCTGGGACACCCCCTGGGACCCCCCTGGGACACCTCTAATACACCCCTGGGAAACACCCTCAATAAAACCCCCTGGGCACCCTCTATACATCCACCTGGAGCCCTCTATCTCCCCTGGGACACCTCTGGAACACCCCTGGACACCCGGGACACCCTGGGACCACCCCGGGACACCTCTGGAACACCCTCTGGAACACCCTCTGGACACCCACTGGGACACCCTGGGACACCACTATACTCCCCCTGGGACACCTCAAATACCCCCCTGGGACACCCTCTAATTACACCCCCCTGGACTCCCTCTAATACACCCACCTGGGAGCCTCTACTACACCCCCTGGACCCCCTCTGGAACACCATGGGACAACCCGGGACACCCCCTGGGGCACCCCCGGGACACCCTCTGGAACACCTCTGGAAACCCTCTGGAACGCCCACCTGGGACACCCCTGGGACACCCCTTCTAATATACCCCTGGGACACCTCTAATACACCCCTGGACACCTCTAATACACCCACCTGGGACGCCCTCTAATACACCCCCTGGGACACCCTCGTGAACCCCCCTGGAACCCCTGGGACACCCTATGGGTCACCCCGGGGACTCCTCTGGTCACCCCCTGGGCCCACCCTCTGAACACCCCTGGAACACCCACTGGGACACCCTTAATACACCCCCGGGGTTTCACCTCTAATACACCCCCTGGGACACCCTCTCTACACCCCTGGACACCCTCTAATACCCCTTGGGACACCTCTAATACACCCCTGGGACACCCCCTAATTACCCCCTGGGACAACCCTCTGGAACACCCCCCTGGGACACCCTATGGTCACTCCCAGGGATTCCTCTGGCACCCCTGGGATACCCATGGGGCACCCCTGGGACACCCCTGGACACTCACCCTTGCCCAGCACTCCACCCCTTTTTGGAAAGTAAGTTTATTTAGTATACCAATTTTACGTTACATAGATTATTATACATAGCAGCATAGTAAGATAATCTGGATTAACACAAAAAGTCAGGGGACTTCTTCCACTTGGGACCTCTCTACCTATCACTGGTTCACTCTATCTTCCCCTGGTTCACTCTATCTACCCCTGATTCACTCTACCTACCCCTGGTTCACTCTACCCCTGGTTCACTCTACCTACCCCTGGTTCACTCTATCCCTGGTTCACTCTGTCTACCTCTTGGTTCATTCTACCTACCTCCCCTAGATCACTTTACTACCCCTTGGTTCACTATACATACCCCCTGCTCTGCTTTACCCCCTTGGTTCACTCTACCTACCCCCTGCCATCACTCTACCCCTGGCTCACTCTACCCTTTGGTTCACTACCCCCACTTTCACTCTACCCTAGCTCACTTTACCCCCTGGTCACTCTACCCCGGGCCATCACTCTACCCCGTAGTTCACTCTACTAGTTCACTCTACCCCTGGTTCACCTTGCACTCTATCCCTGGCTCATTTTTACCCCTGCCATCACTCTACCCTGATTCACTTATCCCTGGCTCACTTTACCCCCTGCCATCACTCTAACCCTAGTTCACTCTACCCCTGGCTCTTTTACCCCTTGCCATTACTCTACCCCTGATTCACTCTACCCCTGGCTCACTTTACCCCCTGCCATCAAACTCTACCCCTGGTTCACTCTACCCCTGGCTCACCTTACCCCCTGCCATTCACTCTACCCCTGGTTCACTCTACCAGTGGCTCACTTTACCCCCTCCCAATCACCTTCACCCCTGGCTAAACTTTACCCCCTGCCATCACTCTACCCTGGTTCACTCTACCCCTGGCACTCACTTTACCCCCTGCCATCACTCTACCCCTGGTTCACTCTACCCTGGTTCACTTTACCCCTGCCATTACTCTACCCATGGGTTCACTCTACCCCTGGCTCACTTACCCCTGCCATCACTTACCCTGGCTCACTGTACCCCCTGCCATCACCTACTACCCCCCTGGTTCACACTACCCCTGGCTCACTTTACCCCTACCATCACTCTACCCCTGGTTCACTCTACCCCTGGTTTCCTCTTTACCCCTACCATCACTCACCCCTGGTTCTCTCTACCCCCTACCATCACTCTACCCCTGGTTACTCTACCCCCTACCATCACTCTACCCCTGGTTCACCTCTACCCCCTACCATCCTCTACCCTGGTTCTCTCTAACCCCTACCATCACTCTACCCCTGGTTCACTCTACCCCTACCATCACTCTACCCCTGGTTCACTCTACCCCCTACCATCACTCAACCCCCTGGTTCACTCTAACCCCCTACCATAAACTCTACCCCCTGGTTCACTCTACCCCCTACCATCATCTACCCTACCTCACTCTACCCCTACATCACTCTACCCCTACATCACTCTACCCCCTACCATCACTCTACCCCTGGTTCACTCTACCCCCTACCATCATCTCTACCCCTACCATCACTCTACCCCCTACATCACTCTACCCCCTACATCACTCTGCCCCTACCACACTCAACCCCCTGGTTCACTCTACCCCCTACCATCACTCTACCCACCATCACTCTACCCCTACCATCATCTAACCCACATCACTCTACCCCTCCCATCACTCTACCCCTGGTTCACTCTACCCCTACCATCACTCTACCCCCTGGTTCACTCTACCCCTACCATCACTCTAAAACCCTTCACTCTAACCCCCTACCATCACTCTACCCTATCATCACTCTACCCCTACCATCACTCTACCCCCTGGTTCACTCTACCCCCTACCATACTCTACACCCTGGTTCACTCTAAACCCCTACCATCATCTACCCTACCATCACTCTACCCTACCATCACTCTAACCCCCATTCACTCTACCCCTACATCACTCTAACCCCTGGTTCACTCTACCCCCTACCATCACTCTACCCCTACCATCACTCTACCCCTACCATCACTCATACCCCTGGTTCATCTACCCCTACCATCCTCTACCCTACCATCACTCTACCCCCTACCATCACTCTACCCACCATCACTCTACCCCTACCATCACTCTACCCCTACCGTCACTCTGCCCCCTACCATCACTCTTACCCCTACATGTTCACTCTACCCCTACATACACTCTACCCCTACCATCACTCTACCACCTACCATCACTCTAACCCTACCATTCACTCTACCCCTACCATCACTCTACCTACCATGTTCACTAACCCCCTACCATCACTCTAACCCCCTGGTTCACTCTACCACCCTACCATCACTCTACCCCTACCATCACTCTACCCCCTACCATCACTATACCCCTACCATCATACCCACATACCACCCCCTACCATCACTCTACCCCCTGTCACTCGACCCCCTACCATCACTCTACCCCCTGGTCACTCTACCCCCTACCATCATTCTACCCCTACCATCACTCTACCCCCCTACCATCACTCTACCCCTCCCCATCACTCTACCCCCTACCATCACTCTACCCCCTGGTTCACTCTACCCCCTACCATCACTCTACCCCTACCATCACTCTACCCCCTACCATCACTCTACCCCCTCCTCACTCTACCCCTACCATCACTCTACCCTACCTCCCCCTACATCAACTCTACCCCTGGTTCACTCTACCCCCTACCATCACTCTACCCCTACCATCACTCTACCCCCTACCATCACTCTACCCCCTGGTTCACTCTACCCCTACCATCACTACTACCCCCTACCATCACTCTACCCCGGGTTCACTCTACCCCTACCATCACTCTACCCCTACCATCACTCTACCCCCTACCATCACTCTACCCCCTGGTTCACTTTTACCCCTACCATCACTCTAACCCCTACCATCACTCTACCCCCTACCATCACTCTACCCCCTGGTTCACTCTACCCCTACCATCACTCTACCCCTACCATCACTCTACCCCCTACCATCACTCTACCCCCCCTGGTTCACTCTACCCCTACCATCACTCTACCCTACCATCACTCTACCCCCTACCATCACTTACCCCTGGTTCATTAATAAATATAATTGATCATAACTTCCACCAACGTTATAATGTTCATTAATAATGGTCATTGTTCAATAATTTTGCTTTACGTTATAATAATTAAAAGTAACATTATAGAAAACTTATAATAATAATAATAATAATAATAATAATAATAATAATAATAATAATAATAATAATAATAATAATAATAATAATATGGAAGATTAGAAATATTTGAATAACATATTGATATTAAAATTAACACGATGAAAGACTAAACATAAAAAAAACAGATGTTAATATTAACATTACAAAAGAGTAAACATAGAACATAATAAAACATTGAAGTAAATGATAATATAATAATAAAGAACCAAGTGATAGTGAGCCAAGTGTTAGTGACGGTGTAGCTGACACAGTAGTTGCTGCTGACACCTCCTTGGTGACACTACCTTGCTGACACTTCTGCTGACACTCTCCTGCTGATACTACCTTGCTGACACTTGCACTATGGTCAGTACTAACTGTTAATATATATTTTCTTGAAGTTTATGTAGGTTTTAATAGTATATTTTGTCGACCACAGTGGTAATGTCAGGTATTTTTTTTTTTTAATTTTTATTTTTGTAACCTGGTAGTTGTATATTTATTATTTTAAGTTTATTTAGGCCTTAAATAGTAATATATTTCTATGTAAATATGTCATTTTTTTTATTTTTTGGGGTTATTTTGGTGGGTACTTAACATAATTTAACTTGCAAATTATATTTTCACGTATGTTAAAATTATACTATATGATAATTGTTCTTGTGTACCTAAATAAACTTTTTTTTTTTATTATGTAATAGTTAAGAAAATTCTGATGTGAATAACTGTGAAATTTTGATAACTTCATTTTAATAATTGTTGTAGTTTATTTAGGTACATTGTAAGTACAATTATGTATAATTTAACGTGTATAAATTACCCACCAGGATAACCCAAAAAAAAGTCGGGGTGTATTATATCCATTGTTGTTCTTCTTCAATATTGTCCCCCCAGGATGCAACCCACACCAGTCTCCTAACACCCAGGTACCTACTTACTGCTAGGTGAACAGTGACAGCAGGTGTAAGGCAACACCCAGGAACCTACTTACTGCTAGGTGAACAGTGACAGCAGGTGTAAGGCAACACCCAGGAACCTACTTACTGCTAGGTGAACAGTGACAGCAGGTGTAAGGTAACACCCAGGAACCTACTTACTGCTAGGTGAACAGTGACAGCAGGTGTAAGGTAACACCCAGGAACCTACTTACTGCTAGGTGAACAGTGACAGCAGGTGTAAGGTAACACCCAGGTACCTACTTACTGTTAGGTGAACAGGAACAGAAGCAAATATAAGGAATCATACCCAGTGTTTTGACCCCAGACCCTCAGTGTGAGCTGCATTCCCTAGTTAAATTTAGATTATTTACTGCCAATGACCATATACAGTGGTACCTCGGGATACGAACAGCTCAAAACTCCAACAGTTGTATTAGTGTATGTATTTATGTAAGTGCTTTTGGGGGTCTGAAATGGATTAATCTAATTTACATTATTCCTTATGAGAACAAATTCGTTCGGTATCGGCACTCGAACAGCCTTCTGGAGCGAATTGAGTTCGTATCCCGAGGTATATCAAATAATGAGAGCCAGTGTTCATGCCTTTGAATTGTCAATTATTTAAGTCTTAACTTTGCAGCCAGCTTCACCAAGCTCTACAAATGTAGGGGCCGTTGCTCGGTCCCCATCACGCACAGTCTCTCCTCGTACTGGAGGTGGATCAGGAGCATCCACTGTAAGACAACGCAAAACCACCACCACCACCTCTGGTCGCAGCACTGCGTCGACTGGGGGCATGTGGAGATTCTACACAGATGATTCTCCAGGAATCAAAGTGTAAGTTTTTAATGAAGTACAATATTTTGTCTAAAGATTGAAATAAATGATATAGACTTAGTATAATTATTGCACTAATCTAGCAGATTTTACCCTTACAGGTTTGCCACAAACCTCTCCTTTGCTTCATTTTTCATTTTGTTCATATTGGAAGACATTTCATCTCCTGGACCATTGTAAATCGAGCTGTCAAGATAAGTGAAAGCCAGAAGTGTAACAGTGGTAGTGAGGCAGTATTGGTGCTAAGTCGGCAAGATGGCACACATGAAGGCTTGACATGGCTAGTGTCAGTATAGCCTAGTTCTTTTGAAGTGGCCAGTTCTGCCCTTGTATTTGAAGCCTTGGGCAGGGGCACAAGAATAATAGCAAATAGAAACCAGTGCTTCCTCCTCCTACTATTTTAGTGTTAGTAGCAAATACAGTGGTCCCTCATTTATCGTCGTTAATCCATTCCAGGAAGTGCGACGATTATCGAAAAAGACTATTTTCAAATCAATTTTCCCCATAAGAAATAATATAAATACAATTAATCCATTCCTGACACCCAGAAGTATTAAAACAAATTTTTTTTTTACATGAAATATAGATGGAGTACATAATACAAAGGGACATGATGAATGAAACATTAATAGCATAACTTACCTTTATTGGTGATTATTCTTAGTGTATGGAAGACTGGAGGAGGAGACAGATTGGATTAGTTACTGTTTGGAAGGGGAATCCCCTTCTATCAACACCTCGGGTACCAAGTGCTTTTCTGGGGTTACTTCTCTTCTCTGTTTAATGCCACTAGGACCAGCTTGAGTCACTGGAGTCCTCTCACAAAAAGTGTCCAGAGCTCTGTTTCTGGCTTCTCATTAAAACTTCCCTAAAATGGGCCAAGACTCTTGTCACTGTACAAGTTGCTGATATGGCTTGCAACATCCTTCTCAGGGTGATGTTTCTCCATAAATCTTTCCATCCTACCCCACATTTCACCATGCCTTATCACACTGTGTATGCCACTACACTTCTTAAATATCTCGAACCAACCTTTGCTGCCTTAAATTCACAATTATCAGTACTCGTTGCAGGCAGTTTCTTTACCAGATAGTCATGCAACTGCCTAGACTTTTCACAAATAATCGAAGTCATAAGAGTATCTCCTGCTAATTGTTTCTCGTTTATCCACACCAATAATAACTTCTCAACATCTTCGAGTACTGGTGATCTCATTTTTGTCAGCATATTTACCCCCTTTGCAACAACAGCTTCCTTGATTTCCTTTTTCTTGGCCACGATGGAAGATGTGGTTGTACAGGATTTGTTATACATCCTGGCCAGTTCGGCCCCACACAGCTAAAGTCGGTTCCTGACCAGCCGGGCTGTGGCTCGTACGTTGGTTTGCGTGCAGCCAGCAGTAACAGCCTGGTTCTGATCCACCAGGAGGCCTGGTCACAGACCGGGCTGCAGGGGCATTGACCCCCAAAACTCTCTCCAGGTAAACTCCAGGTAAACATGCCACTTTAATATTGTTCAATGTTTTTCTTAAATTCAATCGTATTTCTCACTTTTTTTTGCCAAAGGCTTGGCACTAGGAGCTTTCTTTGGAGCCATGGTAGCTTATTTAGCACTTGCAAGCACTAAAATTTGTGGAATATTATGAAATATTTCGTATGAACAAGTGAGGGGACCGTCGCTCACTGGTAAACAATGGCACACTGGCTGGGAAGGGAGGCCGAGGTGGCTCAGAGCGTGAGTACGCGTCCCAGACGAAGGACGATTAGCGAGTAAACGGACCATTTGCGAGCCAATGTTTGGACAAGAATAATGCAACGATTTCCGAAAAGGATGACTATTGAGCCGGACGATTATTGAGGGACCACTGTATTTAAAATAGTGATGAAACTAGCTATTCATACTATAATGCTGTACACTGATTCTTGTTGATGCTACCAATGTTAGGGACTAGAGTAGCTACCATAAGCTGGCAATGAAAATTGTCTTCTCTGTAGAGCCTTAATACATATCCCTAATAGATGCTTGCCTCTGTAAATACATTGGGCCATTGCAAATGATCCAGTTATTGACTTTACCTAAGCAGTATTATCTTGCTACCCCAAGTTTTTCCCAGCTGCTTGTTGAAGTTATAAATTAAAATTGGCTGTCCAGTTGACATTTCTAACTTGTCACACAATTTTATTTTGGATAACTTTAGGTTTCTATCCTTTTAAAAGTTACTGAAAAGCTATTTAAGTAGTGAAACTTTTTTAATAATTAATGTATAAGTTTATCATTAAAAATACTCAACTTTTTTTTTTTTCAGTGGTCCTTTGCCAGTCCTGGTTGGCTCTTTGGTGTTCATTGCCACAGTGTTCATGCTTCATATTTGGGGCAAGTACACTAGAGCTTAAACTTGCAGGTGATAGGAATTCTCGCCTACAGAAGCATCTTACACACCCCTGGAAATCCTAATAACCATCTCCTGCAATGTGGATTTTTCTTAATTGATTGGTTACTGGATCTTTGGTTTCTTGAGGAATGTTTAATTGTGGGATGTCTGCCATTCAGAAGTCTAACCCTATTGGTTGATCATTCCATGTGTATGGTGCATGTGATAGTTTGTAGTTTATGAAATTTTATATAATAAACCTTTGACTGAATTTTATTTTCTCATACCTTCACTAGACTTGTGGGCTAGATCCCTCAGTATGTACAGTATATAACTGTTCACTGTAAAACCTGGACAGTATTTAGTATTCATACTCAATCAGCAGTTTAGTATTGGTTTGCAAAAAGTTATCACTCCATGCCTTGTAAGTCCCATGCTTGCTAAGGGTGTCATTTCAGGACTCTTCCTTTTTTTTTTTTTTTTCTCTCTCCCAACCTAAAATGGATTTAAACTAGGAAGCACAATTCACAACCTACAGACTTTTATGAACAAGTTTCCCTTAAACCCAACACTTGCCTCGGGGAATGTACCTTTATGCTGGTGGAAGGCTCCTGACCCAAAGAATTGGACCTAACCTTCCCTTGGATTATTATAATCATGGAGTGCTAAACCCATAGGATTATACAGCACCTGTTGTAGGTTTACCGCTTCTTTTTTATTTTCCCTTTTGACCTTTGTATGTTCAGTGCTTTTTTTTTTCATTATACGTAATAATTCCCTGCACGAAGTTTGGTTTTCCAACTCCCTATTCCTCGGGGAAGGTTCCTTGATGCTATAGAGAGGACTCTTGATCCAGGGGATTGGACCTCTCCCTTGGATTGAGCCTGATTGCCTTCCATTTCTCCAGGCATTAATGGCCCCCTTATAATACTTCCCATGTCATAAATTACAAAAACCAAGTGCTAAACCCACATGGGTCATCCATGTCAAATATAATCCATTACTAAAGTGCTGTATAACCCCTGACCCTAGTGGGTTGACCTGTTTTTATTATAAATAACTCCTCTATGGGTTCACCAGTTCTGTATGACCCTTGTGGGTTTAGCACTAAATTATGGGTTTACCGTTTCCTCATGATTTTAGCCCCAATTATAATTGTAACCAAGCGTTAAAACCATAGGGGTCATACAGCGCTGCAATTTTAGCCCCAAAGCTCTGCATGGAGAATTTGGATGGTTGGGAGAATTATGCTCCCATGACACTGTCACCTTAACATAGAAGTGATAACCTTGGGTAGTGGTGCTTGCCTGACTGAATCCAGCATCTTTTTCAACATAAATAGTGCAATGGTCACAACAGTAACAAGTTGATTGTACAAATTTGAGTTACCCTAAAACTAGGTGTATCATACTGGTGAGGGAGGGTCTCCTGCTCTAAGGAACTGGGTTATCCTCTTTCTTGGATCAGTCCTAATTGCCACCTGTTCACCTGGGCACAGTATGACCCTTAGGTGATCAGCACTAAATTGCTCCCCATTCCACAGTTGCTGTATAACCCTTGCGGGTTAAGCACTTCCCCCCATGAATGTAATAAATCTCCTAACCACTTTAGTTTTAATTTTATTATGGGAGGGGAGAGAAGGCATTCAGGCTTAATTCAAGGAATTGGAGCACAGATCCACTTCCCTAGATTGAGCCCCCTCACCAGCAGCAAGGAACCTCGGGTATGTTAAGGGTGGGGGGGGGGGGGTTTTGTTTATTGGGAGTGGGCTCCCCCCCATTTTAAACGAGAAGGTTTGTGGGGGGGTCAAATTCATTCTTAAAATGCCCCCTCGCCAAATTTTTATTTGAAAACAAATTAGAAATTTTAGAGGTTTGCCTCCACCCCCCTTTGGGTAGTTTAGTTGGGGGTTAACTTTTTTTTAATATTATTATCCACCTTGTCAACCTGACCAACTAACGACCCCTAAAAAAAGGAAGGTTCCTTTGAGGGTTGGTTAGGTTCCCTCTTGATTTAAATTGGATATGTCTGTTGAATAAATTAATATTTAAATCGGGGGTTTAAATCTTTTTGGTTTTCCTTGATTTATAATGTACCGAATTCTTTTTTAACAATAAACAATTGTTTATTTTCCCTTTAAGATTTTCCCTCGACTTTCCACCCCTTTTTGCTGGCCCAATTTTATTTAAATTTAAAAATAGGTGTTTTAATTTTTTATTTACTTTTGATGAAAAATTATTATCCACCCACTAAATTTTTTGAAACACTATCCAATTAAGACTGCTTTAACCATATACTAATTGTACTTTTAAAATTTCCCTGAAATGGTGTTGGTTAGCGCTTCCCTTTTGATTAAATAAATATAGTTGTATGGACTTATGAAAAATTAAAAAATTTATATCAGTGGAGGTAATTAATAATTTAGATCAACATGTAATAAATGTTTATAATTTCTTAACAATAAAACAATGTTGTATATCTTTAAGTTTCCCACAAGCATTATGCAACACCCTGAGATTGACAAAATATTAAATGGTAAAGAAATAGGTAATATTAATTTATAAAAAAATTACATTTAAACACATGAAAATTTTTGATCATACAGGCTAGTCTCAGGATGAAAGAAAGGCTATGTCAATTAGGAAGGCAACAATTGCTATTGACGGTTTGGAGAAAAAGGGATACAGTGGTCGGAAAACATAAGTATCAAAGATAGATTTTTTGGTAGCATGAAAAATTAAACAAGTGTATGATTGGCATGGAGTGGGTGGCTCAGCCAGGGGAAGACAAGGGTGAAAGGTCTGTTATTATTTTTATAATAAAAAAGGGAAGCATAACCACAAGGCTATACAGCGCTGCGGGGAGGAAGGAAGCGAGGAATAGTGCAAAAGGGAGATGGGAGAGAAACAGGTTACGAGAAAAAAAGCGGGGCAGGGGAGAAAGGGTAAAGGGACAAGAGATGACGAAGTTAGGGAAGGCGAAAAGTATCACGATTTGTGGAGTTAAATCAGTCGTTGAAAAGGTCAATGAGAGAGTCCAGATAAAGGAGGGTCCATCACAAGAAGGGAAGTAAAAAAGTGGAAACGAGACACTTGGGGTAAATTCTGCTGCTCGTTGATAAGGGGCATCCTAACAGAATGAGGCTAATCTGATAATGGATTTGGAAATGTCTCCCCAGAAAAGTGAGCGGGCCATCCCCATGAGAATCCATGAGTAAGACGAGAGTGCAATGCGAAGGCGGAAAAGAGTGTCTCCCAACCTGGGAAACTGATGACAAGAAGAGGGGCCAGAAACCCCTATGCTGGGTTTAATAGAATGAAGTTTGTTACCGAGCGGGGAGTTGAACCAACGTTGTTGCCAACGGGTGAGGGTGGGAAGGGGTATATTCAGCAAAAAAGTCCAGAAATGGAACACCTCGATAGGAAATTGGTAGGTCATATACTGCTGACCGCGCAGCAGGGGTCTGCCTGTTCATTCCCCTGTACGTCACATGACCAGGGACCCAACAAAAACAATATCTTTATGTTTGGGTTTAGAAAAAAGGGCGTAGCCAAAGTTGGATACGAGAACAAGGGATGGAGATGTATCAAATTTTTCGTATACCCTGTAGAAGCACAAAGGGGGAGTCTGAGAACAACTACAAAGATGACACAGGCATAGATGCGATACGAAAAGTGTTTGCAAGAATGGCATAACAATTCAGCAGTAAAAATGCTAGCTGAAGATAGTAAATCCCCCTCGTACGACGCTGTCCGGAAACACTGCTGCGAATCCGACGCCGTCGAAGACTTAGAGCCATCTGTGTACACAGGGATGGCAAGAGAATGAAAATGGAAGTGATCAAGAAAAAGAGAGCGGAGAAGCCACCGTGGGCAGTTTGAGCTTTCGAGCAAGGGAGTGAGAAAGAAACAGACCCGAACAGCTGAACTTCCCAGTGGGTGTAGGAAAAGTGAATGCTACATAAAACATAAAAGGTGGTAACTGAAGGGAAGACAAGAGGAAAGTAGGCGAAAGGGGAAAGGGACGGAGCAAACCGGGGCGGCGAACGAATAAAGAAGGGTCACTAATATCGTGACCATTCTATAAATGGAAGGATTGTGTAGATCGTGAGAGCGTACATAGTAACAAAGGGCCCAATGGCATCACGGCGATCAGACAAGGATGGAACATTGCTTCTGATAGAGGCTCTCACAGGGGAAGAGCGAAAAGCCCCAAAGGCACAAACGTAAGCCTTGGTGAAGGATAGAGTTAAGGCTAGAGGATAGTAGCAGGAGAGGCCGCTGAATAAATCTGGTCACCATAATCGAGTTTCGAAAAAAACGAGGGCTGAATGAAGGGAAGCAGAGTTCGACGATCAGCTCCCCAGGAAAAAATGAGCAAGGGTTTTTAAGAAGGTTTAGCCGCTGTGACAAGTTGCCTTCAGAGAGGTAATGTGAGGTTTCCAGGTTAACCGAGGGTCAAAGAGAAGGCCTAGAAACCTGCCCTGTATCACTTTCGGGGATACGGGAGCCATAGAGATAAAAAAGGATGTATCGGAGAAAACAGACGTCTAGTAAAAGTAATTTGGTGGGGTTTTGGTACTTGAAAATTTAAACCCATGTGTGGTGGCCCAATTTGGAAACAGGGTTTTCGACCGCATGCTGGAAGAAACGCAATAAGGTGACAGTCACGCACTGCACAAGCAATAGCGAAGTCATCAACATAGAGTGATGACCAAATATTGGGGGGAAAAACAGAGCCAAATCTTTTAATAGCAAGGAGAAAAAGTGTTGTGCTTAGAACACATCCCGGGAGGGACACCTTCAGCTTGGACGAAAAGTCCGGGGAAGAGGAAATTAATTTTGACTCGAACACGGAAATGTCTGTCAGTTAAAAAGTTCTTAAGGAAGGATGGTAGATTGCCTCGGAGGCCTAAGGAATGGCCTGGGCCAAAATATTATACCTCCAAGTTGTGTCATATGCCTTCTCAAGGTCAAAAAATATGGCAATAACTGAGTGATTATTCGCAAAGGCATTACGAACATACGTATCCAAACGTAGTAAGGGTCTATGGTAGAACGACCCTTACGAAAGCCATATTGACTAGCGGAGAGACTGTTGTGAGTCTCTAAAATACCACATTAAACGTCGATTTACGAGGCGTTCCATCACTTTGCAAACTGCACTTGTAAGAGCGAAAGGGGCGATAGTGGGAGGCTCGTGTCCTGTAGTACCCGGTTTGCGGAAAGGGAGAACAATGGCAGATTTCCACAGCTGGGGAAGAACCCTTGT